CTTTGACTTTGACTAGTTAGTCTGGTCCCTGTGGAGACGGGGTCGAATACCTCCACCGTGACTGTACGAAGCGGAGGCAACGAAAATGGAAGTCTCAGATCTGAGACATTAAAATATGGTCGCGAGTACCAAGAGACTCGGACCCGAGAAAGACTGCGCTGGCAAGGGCCAGCAGCATATACAGAAGACAGACCCGTCCTCTCGTCAGAGAGGGCGCCCCATGAAAACAAGACCGTAACTGTCAAATACTAATAAATATCTGGTCATGAGCTCCACACGGGGCTCGACAACAAGACTTACTGACTGACTGACCGACAGTCAGTCGCAATGTGACTCTGAACTTTGAACTAGTTAGTCAGTTCTCGGTGCGAGGCAGTCGCTTGTGGAAGAAGACTCGAACGTGTGATTTGAAGATTTTATGAGCGTGATAGTCAATAATAATCAGTTATAGTGAATGACGGCTAAGAATTCAGCTGGTGAAGTCTTATTGTGTGACTTAAGGACTTTATGTGTGCTATAGTATAGTAAGACTTGTATAGCTCCCGTGGTACAAATACGTGAAAACTACTGCAGATAGACTGAGAAGATTAGCGTGTAGCGAGTGTGTAATCCAGTGACATTTGTATAGCTCCCGTGGTACAAATACGTGAAAACTACTGCAGATAGACTGAGAAGATTAGCGTGTAGCGAGTGTGTAATCCAGTGACATTTGTATAGCTCCCGTATTATAAATACGTGAAAACTACTGCAGATAGACTGATAAGATTAGCGTGTAGCGAGTGCAAATTATGTAAACCCGCAATAGTGTAATAATTAGGTGCAGTCACGACTAGTGAAGATCTAATAAAACCAATTACGAATCCGAACCCCGTCTCCAGCACTCAAACACGTTACAGTATACACATTTATATTTTAAAATAAAAAAGTGACTAGGGAACCTTGGTTCCCAGGATTAACGTTGAAAACGGCATTAATTTAGGATTTATATTGGAATAAATGTACTTTGTACAATAAAATAGAACTTTTATTTAAATATTACTATATATACAGTACATAATTTATTGAAACTACCCAAAGCGTTTAGTTTGTCAGTGAGTTGAAGAGTTTGGGGATTGGTTGCGCTCAAGATAAGTTTATGATAGCTAAAGTACGAAATGTAGTTCATGCAGAATAAATTCTCCACATTTCGTACAACGGAACAGGAATAGCGAAGTCGACGCAAACCTCCATCAGCAGTCAACGGTTGGGTAAACTTTGTTCCCACAATGAAGTCACCCATTTCGCTTAATGTGGGATGGAGTCCAACTCGGAGAAAACCCGCCCCAGTGCCACTTTGTCCACCATAAATCCCACTTGACCAGCCCCGGGATCGAACCCGGGCCGCCGCGGTGGGAAGCCAGCGGCTAACCGCTTGAGCTATGGCGCACCCTAAGTCACCCATTATTAAGTAACATTTGGCTAAAGGCGTTCCAACTCCAACGCATAGCACCGAACAAGCATATCTGTGATAAAAACTCACAAAGCAGATACGGTTAATATGGTAAGTACAATGGTTCCCGACGCAAGACAATCTGAAAAAACAGAATGGAACCCTACGGAGGAGTGTCTCCTATCACGGCTGCCTAACAGATATATTGTTCCCACAGTGAAGTCCCCCATTACTAAGTACCCGTGTGGAGGTGGGGCCGAATACCTCCACCGTAATCCTGCGAGTCGTAGGAGGCGACGAAAAGGGAGGTCTGAGCCAGTAAAATATGGTCGCGAGTCTCAAGGGACTCGGACCCGAGAAAGACTGCGCTGGCAAGGACCAGCAGCATGTACAAGTGAGACGCGTCCTCTCGTTAGTGAGGGCGCTGCACGAAAATAAGACCGTAACTGTCAAACAGTAATAAATGTCTGTGGCTCGAAGCTAAGACTGACTGACCGACTGACCGTCAGTCGCAATGTGACTTTGACTTTGACCCATTACTAAGTAATTGGCTAAAAACTTTCCAACTCCAACGCATAGCACCGAACACCCATTTCTGTGACAATTCACTAAGCAGACACGGTTACCACGGTAATTATAAATACAATGGTTCCCAAAGTTATATGAGAGTAAAGATCTTCAAAGCGGCCTCCGTAGTCTAGAGGTAACGTTCCCACCTCATGATTCGTGATACGCGGGTTCAAATACCCGGCCGAGGTCGTAGAATTTTCAAGGGCGGAAAAATTCAGGGAACAAGTCCTCCGGGAGGGACTTTAAGCTGTGTGTCCCGTGTCGTAACTTTACGGCACGTAAAGGAACCTCATATCCCCAAAAGGGATCACTGCGCCAAATTCCAGGACGTTTCCCGCCCAACAATAGTCTCTAAGGCCTCTGATAGATGGGGGAAGCATTATAGACACCGCTAAGCAAGTGGCCGGACTCGCTTGCTCGGTGGGACTGATGGTACGCACCATTTATCTGTAGGGTATAGAGACTGGTAGAATATCGTAGAGGGAAGCACAATAGATGAAACTGGTCGCGGTGCATGGGGAAACCCACCTTCTCTAAATAAATAACTAAAGATCTTCAACCATCTGCCGACTGAAATTAAGTATATGTTTAACGACACGTATAGTTTTAAATCTAAGTTGACAACATTCTTATTAGAGAATTAATTTTATACCATTGAGGAATTCTTTGAATTGAAACATGCCTAGAAATTGGATTAAAACAATAAGATTTTATAATTAAGCCATGTATCATGATGATGTATGTGCATGTTTTATAGTTTATACATAAAGGACTTATTGTGAAATGGATGTACAGTCCGATTTACATTGTATGATCATTTATTTTATTATTGTTACATTCCGTAGTGAGTGATACATTATATGTGGCCTATCATAGACGCATATGTGTTTTATACTGTGTGATATCCAGTAGGATAAAGTATATTGTATCATTAGATATCTTATTATTATTACTTTGTTACCTAGTATAAACGATGACGGGATTCTACATCTATGTATATAGATCTATGGAAGACACATTAAATACGAATATGAAAAAGTCAGAAGAGGGAAACCGAATACAGAATCCAGGAGATACTGAAAAGGTACTAGAGATGGACCAAAACAGATTGCATTTTTTAGAAGCTCGTATTTATTGACGCATTTCACTGGCATTATGTACACATATATTTTGGGTAATTGTTTAAACAATGTACAGATGGATAGACCAATCTTTATTCTTTCATTTACATACAACTTTTAATAAAATAAACGTCATAGGACTTGAGTTATCAGCGGTTACGTAAGAGGTTGCACAAGTGTTACGCTGAGTGCACTTACAGCTTCATCCATTTGCACCATATCTCGGCCTGTAGACTCCTGAACTAGGACTAGCACGAATTAACTCTGCTTGAGTTGTGCTTCTGTCAGTCTGACCATATAGCAGACACCGCCTTCATGGGTTCTATTCTCCGGTATTCATGGGAATTAATTTTTCAACAATTCCAGCAAATCGTTGTGGAAACTTGTTTACAGTTCTCCTAGCCGCTGTGGGAACGATTCTTCTCTAGCTGTTGTAACGGAAACGTGCTTTGACTCATTTTTGCCAGGCAAAGGACAAGTGTTATACTGTCATTTGAGGTTTCATCCATTTATACCCTCGTATAATAATGTTTTCAGCGTTAAAAATGGGCTAAAATAATACCTACCATTCTGACAAGAATGTAATATTCAATACAAAGTTCCTAACGCAGTGCCGGGAATTATGCTTCTTCGAACAGACAATGGATGTTAGCCTTCCGCTGGCTTCTGTGTATATAACTGCAGACGTCATACAGTGTAAATTTCTGACATGAATTTACTTTCTGCCGTAACACTAGTAACTTTTCTATAGTTACATGAATTTACTTTCTGCTATAATAATTCAAAGCAGATAAAATTACCATGGTAATTTCTGTGAAATGTCACGTTAATATGTAACTTACAGCTTCATCCATTTGTATCCTCGTATAATAACGTTTTCAATGTTAAAACTACATCTGTGCTCATTTGAGGGTAATCTGCTGAAGTAGTGAGGTCTTTTGTGCTTAACTGAAATTACCCCTTTCCTGCAGCCGAGATATTTAAGGCTGTTAGTTCCATGGTAGGATTTGGCAGTCAAGGGGTTAGGACACAGCCTTCACACACCAAGCACAAACAACACACCCAATAAATCTGGTCAATGACAACATAACAAGGCTCACCAGTCATTTCAAACCGAAAAGGGCTATTTTCATTCGCCATCAACAACACAACACCCAGCAAACAAGTAAAAGTAAAGCTATCCCTGTAGCAGGCTGTGAAGGCCCATAGGATTGTGAGACCTTGAGGGTACCACATTTTCTAGACAAGCGGCTCAAAGATGGCGGTAAAGTTGTCAGCTTTACGCGCCGGCTGCACTTTACTCCCCAGGGAGAATTATTTAATTAATTCCTGGTACTCATTTCTGTTAGAGGCTGAGTGAACCCCAGGGCCATAGTGCGGTCGGAAGGATTAAGTCAACTGAAAAAATCCAATGAGCTCATTGGGACTTGAACCCGCGATCTTCTGGCTTGTAGCATAGTGCCTCAACCAACTATGCTACCGCGTGCCCCCGGCCCGCAAACAAGAGGCATTGATAATAGAGCTACATCTTACACCCTCATATGATAAGTGCATTATAATGATCTTTCTTGTAAGGAGGAAAGCTTGGAATGATATCAGCTTCAAAAGATAAACATACTTTAATTAATTTGAAAGTTAAAAATTGTGTATTATTATTGCTGGGGAGTGGGACTAAGTCCCCTGTACTGCGGCCACTTCTGGCCTATTGTACCAGCCCCAGATGATAGGTGAGGGTGACTGTGGAGCAATTGGTGGAATAAAGATTGGCAGGGGAATCCGAAGTACTTGGAGAAAACCTGCCCCAGCGCCTCTTTGTCCACCACAAATCCCACTTGACCAGACCCGGAATCGAACCTGGGCCGCCGTGGTGGGAAGCCGGCGACTAACCGCTTGAGCTAAGGTGCAATTAAAAAAATTGTGTAACTTTCAACTTTTTCAATTAGTTTTTAATTGTACTTCCCTCACTATCAGGACGATATGGCAATAAAAAATGACAGCAGGTAATATGCCTGAGGGTATTTGTATAAGGCCAAAACATGTTATATTAATAACAAAATGCGTGAACAAAATGTGGTGGTGCAGGAGTAACTATGCTCCCATTGGAACATTTATTGAAATTTCACTGATAAGCATGAAATAACTAAGAAGTTGAACATATTTTAAAGAATTAAGGTGAGAGGGTGTGAACAGAATTTTCTTCTGTTAGGGTACAAATCCATGAGAGGTTCTTGTAACCATGATAATGAACTTCCAAGTTCTATAAAATGCAGATATACTATAGAGTAGCTGAGTGACCACTAGCTTCTAAAGAAGTGCTCTGCTCCATGGACTTAGCATTTCATAATCATTCTGAAATTGCAGAGAAGAAATCTGTGCAAAGCAGCTACTATCAGTTTGATGGCATAAAAAAGGAAAATTTTAGCCTATTTTCCTTATTTCAAAAAAGGCTAGAGGTTCTAGGAAGAAATAACTGTTTACTTCCTTCCACTATATATTCAGTGTTTGATATGACCCAGATGGCATAGAAAACACCATGTACAGAAAGTTCTGAATTCAATGACATGAGGCCCAAAAGCCATAATAGTGGATTCAAAAGAGATGGCCGTTTTTAGGTAGTGGCTCAGTAAACATTCATACAGCAGCAATACACATAGACCACACAGAAAATGCTGCGGCCAGAAGTTCCTCTGTGGTTATATGTATACTCATTGCTGCGGGAACGTTTGCTTCTGAGGCATTGCATATTTTTGATGTTTTGAAGAAACAAAAGGACGCTTATGAGATACCCTGCTGTCTGTGTGTCCATGTATAACACATGCCCCAATAACACTCCTTGGTAGTGGCTCTATAAGCATATTCCCACATCAAGCACACAACAATAGAAGAACTGTTGGATGTAGTGTGTGTTCCGTGTCATCATATATTCAATGTATAATGAAAAGAAATTAGGTGATCTTTCTTCTCTGAACTTCTTGTATGTAGGGTGAATGCATAGCCATGTTAGATATGGCACTGTTTGTTTCACAGAACCCTAGAGATTCAGAGAATGTACGAGATCTGTGTACTGAGATATGCTCAGCGCCATCTCATGATGCATATGAAGCCATCAGTATAAAAGCTGAGGTGCTGTCAGATGGAGAAGAAGAGGAGTATCCTGTCCCAGTGACATATCCAGGAATAAAGGCTGAACCCAAGGTGAGCTGTGTGTCTGGTTCCATGTTAGGTGGATTTCACAAATATAGATATATCTTGTTTTCTGAACTTTAGCTACAATGAACAACGTACATTTAAAAGCAGTCTTTTTGCGGAAGCAGAGAAGTACATACCTAGCACAGGGCAGCTAGGGACAAACAGACATTGACACCTGCCTGCACCTCTGCTAATCATATAGGAGCTGTGCTCCTGATGCTTACATTTTATCCATAAATATGTGGGACCCTTAACGTCTCACAACCCTATGGGCCTTCATGGCCTGTTACAGGGCTAGCTTTACTTTTTTTTATGTGTCTTTTGTGCCTCTCATGGCTCCCTAACAGGAAAAGTGGTTGTGACAGGATTTGATAAGCAAAAGAAGTGAGGAAAGCAATAAGTTTACCTACAAAGCAGAAAATAATAAAAGGGACTGAAGGAGAAATATGACAGATGTATTGCCAGGATAAACTTAGATGTAAAGTACTGACTATTTTTAGTCATATTAACCAGGAATTTCAACTGTAATTTTAATTTTACATCTTTTAATTCAATTTTTACATGATCAATAGTATTTTTATGTCAAGTAAATATTGAAGTGTATTATTAGGACAGTGTAACAATATAGACCTAATATGAATTCATATTGAATAAATGATGCGACTCAGAAATCTGACACCAAGTATTCATTTATGCCTGATGATGACCCAGGTAAGGGTCAAAACATGTAGGAAGATATCAACAGCAAAGTAAAGCATGTGTTGGCACATGCCAACACATTTTGTTTGTTTTCTGAAATTATCTTTTGTGTAGATTTCTTCACAGAACTTCTTGTATGTAGTGTGAATGCCCAACTATGATGACTGGTTGTTTTACAGAATCCTACAGATTCAGAGAAATTACAAGGTCCATGTAGTGAGATGTCCCCAGCATCTTCTCAAGATTCATATCAGGCCATCAGTGTGAAAGCTGAGGTATTGTCAGATGCAGAAGAAGAGGAGAGTCCTGTCCCGCTAACATTTGTAGAAATAAAGGCTGAACCTGAGGTGAGCTGTGTCTCTGTGTCTATGTTAGGCAGATTTCACAAATAGAGGTATTCCTCATTTTGCCAACTTCTGCTCCAGTGAACAGCTTACATTCGTAAGAAATTTTTTGTGAAAGCGGAGAAGTACATACAAAACATAGGACTGTTGGGGAGAAGCAGACATCATCCACCGTCCCAGTCCTGTCCATGTGCCTTGTTCTAATCATACAGAATCAGCCGTGCTCCTGATGCTTAACATTTTATCTGTAAATGTCTGTGTTATTTCTGTCCATTATGTCTCCCTAACAGGAGAAAGTGGTTGTGAGAGGTATTGATAAACCAAAGAAAGAAAGCAGTTGGTTTGGCTGCAGACCTGGAAATAATAAGAGGGACTGAAGGAGGACAATGATGTAAAGATATATACAGCCATGATAATGAAGCTGCTTTATTCCATTGCATCAGCCATGAGAAGCGAAATGTGATTAAAGTTATATTCTATTGTCAACAATTGCTCACTGAAATACTTCTGTTATTCTATGTTCTTCTCATTCATGTTGTCAAGAAGTTTTGGAGGAAGGTACCTGAGCTCTGTGACAAGCTATATATATGTACTTAGACTCTCATCCCCATTAGTGAGCATGGAAACCAATCACTGAATCAGGGACAATCAAGCGACCGGTCTGTTTAATAACGTTTTGACCATACGGTACCCACTTTGATATATTCATGTTCTTTTTTCATTTTATATTATCCTTTGCATTACAATCTTTCTTTCACAGACACCATTATTGCTTTGCAGATGGATACATACAACGCTATGTTTTCACAACTCCATATGGAGGTGTCTTTTGCTGGGTAATTAGGTGTGGCCCTGCCTGGCAATGTAAATGCCAATGCAGAAGCCAGTGAAGATGTATTCCTTGAGGGTTTGTTATTGGAACACCATCTGGGTGGTAATCTTTGTACTCTACTTATTCACATTCTAACTTTGTCAAGGCATGATGTGTGGACAAACACACAGTATAACAAATTGCAGTCATTGCAGCTGTGTGTTCTTGTGTGGCAGTCTTTCAGCTCCATAAGGAAGGAGCAAATCATGCTTACATGCCTTCGAATTAAGCATAATTGCCTGATGTACATGTGCCTGTTGCAAAGAGCCCCCATATCTGCTTCTACTCCACACTGTGGGGTCACCTTTACCATTGTATACACCTGGATGGAGTGGTCATTTTCTGACAAATGTCAAACTTTTGTCATGATGAGGGAACGTTGCTTGGCATCCTAGGTGAAGAGTGACATGGATTTCTTTCATGGTATCAGAGTGGCCATGTCTATACTCATATAACTGACTCTGTCATATTCTTCACTTTAAGTCATTTTATATATATTGTCATTTTGAGGATTTCACTATTCCATATACAGCCTGCCTTAATGTCATTTCTTAACTGATCATTTGCCGTTGGTTCATATTATAATCCTATCCACTATTAATCAGACCCCTGTACAGCTTTACAAATGCATAGTATTTTCACATGTTGGGGTTCGTGTGTGACTTATAAGATGGGTTTGGGATTGGATGATTGGATTTATCGCGACCTTATGCTCAGTAGTCAGGACTACAGGCAATAGAACAATGTTGCTGATCTACACACATTCTACAGTTCACCATTACACACACACTAGGGCTCTCCATCTTCACTAGCTCCACCCTGGCAACAGATTCGTCACAGCCTGTCACTTCAAATCACATACAAAGTCTTATTTTCACAACTTAAGACATTAATTGTAATTATTCTGCAGCTGCCAATTCCGAAAACTCAACTGAATTCAATTCCATCTCCATGTCCTGGCATACTGTCATCCCAAAACTTGACTTCCAAATACTTTCTATACTGCTGAAAACTTTCTTACTACCATGTTGCATGGACCCCAAAGAAAGCACAGCCTCTGTTGCTAAGGAGGCGTGTTTACTGATTCTTTGCCTAGTGATGGATGTCCTATTACTGTGAGCGTTGGTTCACGCGGGAATGTGTTTCCCGAGTCGATGCCTAGCAATGGGCCTACACATCACAATATTATTTCATGCTGTAATTTGTTACATAATGGAATTCTAGCTTTAATTTTATTCACTCACAAACTTCCATGTAAGGCGATGGACACGTACATACATATTCACTCTCTTTTTCTCTTCTCCCTACTTTCTGCGATCCATGTGTATCCTACCTCCTTAACTCCTCTATGTACTTGCATTTCAAATCTATGTCTCTTCCTATGAGGGTTATTCATGGTGGTTCTCATTTTGCAGATTCTTTATGATCTTCAATCTATGGACGGTGAGGAGCGACTATATTCCTGTGAAGAATGTAATAAATCATTTAGTGATCAGGATAATCTGAAGAGGCATCAGTGCATACATAAACGGCGAATTCATTGTGACGTGTGTAATAAGTCATTCAGTCAGCAGACCAGCATGAAGAGGCATCAGATCACCCATAGTGGGGAGCGGCCATTTTGTTGTGACATGTGTAATAAGTCGTTCCCGTACCGCACTAGTCTGAAGTTGCATAAACGCATACATAGTGGGGAGCGGCCATTTTTCTGTGATGTGTGTAATAAGTCATTCAGTCGACTCAGTATTCTACAGACACAGCAACGCATACATAGTGGGGAGCGGCCATTCTGCTGTGATGTGTGTAATAAGTCATTCGGTGATCAAGCTAATTGGAAAAGGCATCAGCGTGTGCATAGTGGGGAGCGGCCATTTTTATGTGACATTTGTAATAAGTCATTCGGGTATCGCTATCATTTGAAGAAGCATCTGCTCATACACAGTGATATGCGTAGAAAATCATAAAGCAGCAGAGATGGGTTTACACTAAAGAAACGGGAGAAACAAATGCGAAGAAGACACTCAATCGGTCGCGTATCCATCCACGAGAAAGAAGGGAACGATTTCACCGATAATAAAGATTTTTCGTCATAACGTTATGCCATCGGAGGTGACCATAATGCCATAACATGTGATATTCAGTAATCATTTGTATCACGGTGGGGGATGCGCAAACTCCTGAGGTGGAAGCGGCGTTTGCGACAACATCTAAGATATCACGTAGCAACATAACATCGGAATATAAGATCACTGATTGATATTATGGGTTAAAAATAGTTAACACGATCAACTTTATACATAACGCCATATTTCGATTTATATTCCATGTTACAACAGTCATATATTACGTTCCGTTAAATAGCAGCTTCGTAAATGACGTCACACTTAGGTGTGCGCAATGACCTATTGCGCATCCACCTGTACCCCACGGGTACCATTCGCTGATATTAGGTTACGTTAGGTTAGGTTAGGTTAGGTTGGGGTGGGGTGGGTTGGCTTGGGTTAGGTTTGCGCAGTAGACTAGTGTGCACCCATCACTAACTCGGGGGTACCATTCACTGATGTTAGGTTAGTTTAGGTTAAGATAGATTGGGTTGCGCTGGGTTCGGTTGGGTTGGGTTAGGCTAGGTTAGGTTAGGTTAGGTTAGGTTAGGTT